AATATAAGAATATAATTGGGTTCAAAAAATATTTTTGACACTATACGTTGATGCAAAAAAATGTAAGAGATGATTGAGAATTGTTGAAAAACGACTATTTATTAAATCCAAACGTTGTGAAATATCGGGTGTCACACAAACGGTATGTGTTACTTCTAATGGTACCATAACAAGACGAACATTGCTAGAGAAGACAATATGAGCGGCTTCTGGATCATTGAGAATATTAAATTCAGCTGCGGGTGACATGTTACCAAGTCCAATACATCCACCCATGATAACAATTTCTTCAATATAATTTTTCACTTTAGGAAATACTTTTAATAGAAGAGCAACATTTGTTAGTTGACCAGTGGCCATTAAAGTGATACGAGAACCATTATCAACGATTAATCGGTATATTTTCCATAGATAGTTTTCATCGTCTTCAACACTAAAACAAAAAGATCAAATTCATCAGAACTGAAAAATAAACAGTTATATTCTAACGGGGACCTTCATTCAATCAAAAAAAGAAAAAGAATATAATAATATTAATAATATATTTTAATATTAATAATATATTAATAATATATAATATAAGAATATAATTGGGTTCAAAAAATATTTTTGACACTATACGTTGATATTTCATTAGTGTCAATGGACATACTTGTGTTTTTGTGGCGCTTCTGGTATATCGGCACCGTCCATACCTGTTTGTCCATGAATTTCTGGACATGTTGAAATTGGTTGACAGAGTGGCTCTGAACAACCTTGTATAACTGGAATATTTTTTATATTAGCCAAATGTAAGACTTTGTAGACGTTAGCTGTCGTCCGATCGATTGTTTGATTACCCACGACAGTTGAGATGCCAATCAGTTTCAAATACGGATGGTAGGCAGCAAGTAAAATGGCAAATGCATCGTCATGACCCGGATCACAATCTAACCAGACTGGTTTTACGACAATATTTGTTCTACTTTGGCATTGTTCAGTATCTTCAGCTACTGATGAAAGTTGATTTACTTTATTTGGATTCATTTTCAGATTAAAAGACAATTTGTTTTCTTTCTCTAATTTTTGTTACTTGTCGAGTAATTTTGTCTATGTTAACTCAAAGCATATGCAATATTTCTCACGTATATTTTGCTTTAATATAGTATAATAGCTAACGTTGCTTCTAACGGATATCATCTCAATACTATCTGTCGTAACTAATTTATCGTTATTTCAAATAAAACAGATAGTGTATGTTCACACTATTCCTTTCATGTATAGTATTAGGCCTGTAGCAACAAATGTAAATGATAAAACTTTGGTCAAAAAGTTTACATTTTACATTTGCAATCTTATTTTTATCAGTTGCGCTAGAACGCAATTGCGTTCTAGCGCAGCTGATAAAAATAAGATTGCAAATGTAAAATGTAAACGTTTTGATCACAGTTTAATCATTTACATTTGTTGCTACAAGCCTATTCTAGAACAATAATAATGCATGACTCCTTCTTAAAAAGCTTTTTTAAAGAATTTTCGTTTGATCATCAATCGTATAGGTATAACGGATTAATAGATTAAGATTAATAGGGATGTTAGAATGAGTGACTAAATGATCACTTTTGTGTTCTGTTTCCTTTTTTAATTTAAAGCCTTCATTTGATCGTTCGGTTAGACAAATTTCAATAGCTGAGCATAAAGCTGCATTGGCACACTTTATTGAACCTTGACATTTTGAATTATGTTTCCTCCCATGAACAATTAGGATACCAGGAAAAAGATTTTTAAATCATCGACAAGTATTAACAAATTTTTCGCGATTAAGAATAATTCACATAGTGTATAATGCACTTTTTGGATTCCTTACTCCTCAAGTTGATTACGTAGTACATGGCTGACTCCTTATTCCTAAGTTGTATAGATTTGGGATACACCGAGACGGGGTATTCTATACACACAACTTAGTCGATTTAATATATCTGCAACGTTATCCACAGAGTACATCAGTTGTCACTTGTCTCATTGATTCAAGAAATTATTAAATTAAAGTTATTTTTTGATTGTGATAATGACAAAATACAAGTACATTTTCTTGTTTCGCTTCTTAGAGAAAACACACATTAAAATAAGTATTTTATATAAGTATAATGAATGCATTTTTTCAATCGCATTCTCATTTTTTTTATTCAACCTAAACAACACAAAACAAAATACTGTGATATGAAAAACAGCACATGTACTAGAACGGACATGTGTACATTCGGTAAACAAAAAGAATAAAAAAAAAATACATGAAACAAGACTATATTTGCTTAACTCATTTCGTAGCAAATGCGCCTGAAAATGACATTTTTCCAAAAAATTGTTGTTGATGTTCGCTTTCAGATGACGTTGATGAATTTGTAGGAAATGTGAGACCAAATTTAATCATACAATCGTATGTTGGAAAACAATAGATAGTCGTCGTTTTATGATCATAGTGTGTTTTTAGTAAAATTTGTTTTAAATGCAAAAGGTCATCATCACTATCATCATCATCATCATCATTTCCTAATGGTTCATCATCTTGTGAAAAATCATCTTCAATTTCTGCATCATCCTCATCTTCATTTGAATAAAGATTAATTTTTTCTTGTCGTGTTTTTCTCACACGTATAGTTGTTAAACATTGAATTTGTTCAAATAATTCAACTAAATCTTGAATAGCTATTGGTAACAAAACACTTTGATAATGATCGTATAATGAATCGATTGATATCCCTGGATGATCAATAACAAAAAGTAGTACAGATTCCATCATACGTTGTAAAACAATAAAATTGATATGACCATCAACAAATTTCCATGGACGAGGAGTATAATAAATATGCTAAAGAAATAAAAGAAGTATTTCACAACAAAAATATTGACTATCTAGCAAAAAAAACAGAAAAAACAATTTTTTTAGCAATTTACTTGAAATTGATCAGTAGCTAATTTGTTGCTCGTTGTTGTTGTATGCAAATTTTTAATCTCATTAATATCACAAACATCCACAGATGTTTCAGCTACAGTTGTTGTCAAATATGTTTCTAAACTTGTTTTATCCAAATCCATTTTATCAAAAATATTATCTTGAAAACGAATTGAACATATTAACCATGATCGAGCAAATTTTCTATTTATAAATAAACGTGTTACATTTCCAGCAACAATGACAAGACCATATTTTAATAATAAATACAACGATTGAATTACATTAGATACACTCATGCTATTCTTCAAGTCTTTACATAAATCATAGAATGTAATACCTAAAAGAAAATGAGTAAAAATATATGTTTAATGTAGAATATATTAACAGTTGTTCATACGAAAACAAAATATATTTTATATTTTGTATCTTAGCCGCTTCCTTAGTCTGTAACTATGATTCATTTTAAAATATAAAGTTTCTAAAAAACGTACTATTACTTAATTTTCTAGCTTTCAACAATTTATCTGCCACCATGCCTTCACCTTCTACACTTGAAAACGCACAGTGGATAATTTTGACTAGGCACGTGAACATGTGCTAGAAAAGTGGTGCGAAAATGAAGAAAAACCCAATTTATATTTTTTTTGTTTAAACACTTAC